GTGCTGCTGCTGTTCTTCCTCCCGAAGCTTCTTCAGCTTCTTGAGATAGACCGGGCGGGTGCTCTCTGTCACTGGGCCAGGAGACAGGCCGTAACGGCGGAGCTGAGAGAAAAGCTCCTCATCTGAGAGCTGCTGGGGCGACGAAGCCGCTGCCGCCGCCATTTTCTCTCCAGGGTGTTTTACAAGCTCCGCGCTACCGGAAGTGACGCGCCGCCCTAGACCCTGAACTAGACCGGGCTGCGTCGCCCTCCCGTACCGCGAGCACCTCGGCCAATGGGAGGCGGGGAGGCGCTCACCTGAGCGGGAAAGGCCACCTGAGCGGCGCACGGCTCCGGCGGCGGGGTGTTTCTGAACTCTGAAGTGGGGCCGCTGCCGCGTCCTCCGCTCCTGGCCATCTGTCCTGTGCTCTCCACCCTGTCCTTTCTAGCGCCTCTTACTAAACCACACCTTGACCTCTTCCTCCCAGGTTCCTGCCACTGGGCAGCAATTCTTGAAAGGAAATTTGCGTGGAAGTTAGTGGCATTAGTTTTCTTTTCTTGCAGATTCCTGCTGCGGGGTGATTGGGAGACGAAAAGAAACACTGAAAGCCAGACTCGATTGGCATTTTCCTGTTCGATTCTAGATTCTTTTCGGTTTGTCCCCTTGATCAGGAAAACAAAAACAAAAACTGTCTCGCTGCTCTTTTTGAAAAGCAGCAACCCACTTTCCCCCCGCCCCCTTCCTAGACACAGAGTAGACACCATGCAGATTTCAAGATTGGTAGCTAGCCATTCGTTCATTAGTTAAAAGTAAGTTATTAACATGTTTTCCCTTTATAAAAATCTGATGACCTCACAAGGTCATTTGGGGAAAGGAAAAACACTATCATCTGTTTCATTTTATGACTGAAGAAAGAAGTACACATCATCCTATTTTCTTCTTAGTACCTTTCCAATAGTTGAGTTATTAATTCTTTCATTTGTTTTAAAAGTATTACTGCTATCCCTTTGACCCGTTAGCTCCTCGCACAGAGAACCCTTGCTTCTATTATTCCCAGCACTAGGAGCAATGCAAATTTATTGAATGAGTTAATGAATTGAATGAAAGACTATGAGATGAATATTTTGACATGAGAATAGTGCCTGGTGAAGCAGATTAAACCTTTATACAGAGCCGAAAACCGAAGACAGTTAAGATTTGGGAATCCTTCCCCCTCATTTACAGTGTAGGAAATGAATTCCAGAGGAGAAATTTGCCCAATTACGTGAAAGTGACTTCCCATGTACTTAAACCCGGCAGAGCTGGCCATGCCCTAGCGGCTACACAGCAGCACCTAGAACAGTATCTCAAACATTACAATCTTTTGTTACCTACTGTAGCCTAATACATTATACCCACCTACAGAGAAAAAATGTTAGTCACCTCAACTTTCTTTTTCCTGTCCAGGGTATTGAACACAGGGCCTTTGCACTGAGAGTCCCAGCCCCATTTTAGTTTTTGAGACAAGTCCTCACTAAGCATCTGAATTATCCAGTATGGGATTCAATGTACAACCATTCTGTCTCAGCCTTCCAGATTGGCGGGATTACAGGCATCCACCACCATGCCTGGTTTAGTAACCTCAAATTTTTTTCTTCTAGCAAAATCTTGCCATCCTGTTAATGAAAACAAAACAAACCACAAACTTTTATGTAGGATGTAAGTCATTTCTTGGTCCTTAATCATTGAGACTTTAACATTTACAAATGTTCCTGAGTCCATAACTGCTAGGCATAATAAATTATAGTGACTGTGATGATTACGACAATGATGATGATGATGATGATGATGATGATGATGATGACTTCAAACTTATTATCATAATTATCTGGGTAGAGAATAAAATTATTACAAACTTATCATTCCTGTGTCTCAGTGTGGTTAGGCTTTGAGCTTTGGTGTTAAAAGAAAGTGGGTAGTAACCCAGTCTTGTCTCTTAATTTTATTCTTAGTTCAACATTTGTCTCATGACCTATTTACTCTTCAGGTAGGCACCATAGAGGTCTAAGGGTTCAGCCTCTCATTTTCATGATCCTTTAAGTGTTCTACAAGGACTGTTGGGCCATTTGTATTTATGTCTGTAATTTGGATGAATGATTAGTTTTTCTGAGCTTTATTTTCTATATACACAAAATGAGGTATAGCAAACCTTTCTCTGAAGGCTATTTTAAGGATTAAATGAGATAAACATACAGTGAACACAATAAATGTTAGTCAGTGATGTGAAGCCTTGTGTGTACCCATCTAGTAGCGTGGCTCCTGAGAATTCCATGTAACCACAATTAAAATGCCACTCCACATACAGAAATAGAAATGGTTAAACTTCGCTCAAGGTATTCACAATCACCTTTAAGACTTAATAAAGATCAGGGGCTTTGGTAAACATAGTTCTTGGTCATTTCAGCCTTTGGGGGCAGCATGGTTTAGAATGAAGTAGGAACCAAAATCTCCATTGTCCAAGTTATGTGCCTTAGGATAAATTTTAGACTCTCAAGCTGGACGTAGTGGCACATGCCTGTAATCCCAGCACTTGGGAGGGTGAGGCAGGAGGATCACTGTGAGTTCCAGACCAACCTGGGCTACATAGTGAGTTCCAGGTCAATCTCAACTACATAGTGAGACCCTGTCTCAAAAAAACAAAACAAAACAAATTTTAGACTCTCAGAATCTTAATTTATTCTTTTAAAACTGTTGACAGTATTGCCTTGCACTACTTGGCAAATGGTTAGTATTGAATAAAAATTTGAGAATGATGAGAATGAATACAGAATGTGAAGATGCTATTCGAGTATGTTGTTTACATGTTAGGTATGATTGCCAGATATTAATAGCAATGACAGTGCATTGATATACACTTTACAAGAACTTTTATACACATGGTCTTATCTGGTCTAGAAAAAGAAATTTCTGAGGATACTGGAGGGCACGCTTTATTGCAGGGAACTATATGAGATTGTAATTCCCCTTAGTTTGAGTGTTTGAATAGACTAGACATTTTCTCAGGAGGACCTTCACTACTTCAGCCCTGTCACTTTTCACTTCTCACTTCTGGCATTCTCTTCCTTTGCCAGTGGATCCTACTCCTGCATCCAGATTGGCTGACTTTTAAAGTACAGGCTATTTTGTACCTAGATACTTGACAGGGAGTATAATCTCAAGCTCATTGCTGCTCTACAGCTTCCAAAGATCCAACTAAGGGAAATATTTATGATAGGTTCCAGAAAGGTAGAGAGATCATCTTCTTCTCTGGATGTTTTTATTTTATCTCAACCTCAAGCCTGCTCACCAAAGACGAATATAGCTAACCTCCTACTCTCTTTCCTTCTAACCTCCAGTTCCCACTAAAATATTTTTCAGGGCATTCTTCTTTAGAGTCATGATATTTGCTTACATTGAAGGACCTTGCATAGAATGTTACAAAATCAACACTGTATTCAAATAAAGATACTCCTGATGTTTGTTTCCTTAAAGACTATCCTCTTTAGGGTCAGGATGTAGCTCAGAGTCACTGCACGTGACAAGTGCAATGTCCTGAGTTTGATCCCCAGTACCCCAAAAAACATTTTTTAAAAAGACTATACTCTTTAGTCTCAATATTGGAAATAGTTTCATTTTTCCCATTTTGTTTTTGCTTTATTTTTTTTTGAGGTGCAGCTCACATAGCACAAAATTAACAATTTAAAATGTACAGTGAATGACAACACATTCACATGTTGTGCAACGATCTCCACTTCATAGTCCCCAAACATTTTCATTACTCCCAAAGTAGGCCTTAGACACATTAAGCAGTCACTCCCCATTTCTCTTTCTCCTTAATCCTTAGCAACCACTAATATACTCCTTGTTTCTATGGATTTAACTATTCTGGATATTTCATGTAAATCAAGTGAAACATTATGTGACCTCTTGTGTCTGACTTTTTTTACTTAGCATGATGTTTGTAAGATTTATCCATGCAATAACACATATTAGTACCATTTCTTTTTATGACTGTATAATATTTTATGGTATGGATATACCATATTTTATTTATCCATCCATCCAGTGATGGATATTTTTGTTGCTTCCATTTCTGGTTACTGTAAATAATGCTATTATGAACACATATACATGTATTTGTTTGAATCACTATCTTCAATTCTTTTGAACTGAAAAAATTCAGTACTTCACAGTGGAATAAATATATCACATGATGATCCTAATGTGAACTTTTTGAGGACTCTTATGGGTATGGTTTTAAAAGAAAAATAAGAAAGAAGCCATCAGCCTAATGTTATTCCTATATTTAGAACTGTTATGTAAGCAAATTTAAGTTGGAGGTATTTCATATAACTGACTGCTAAAATCTGAGTATGGTTTGCTCCCACCAAAACTCAGGCTGAAGCATCATTCCTCAATGTTGCAATATTGGCAGAGACAGCTAGTGGGAGGTGTTTTGGGGTCATGGAGGTAGAGACCTTGTGAATATATTAAAGCCTTCTCCAGAAATGACTGAGCTTGCTCTGGAGAGACTGGTAGGTTAGCTTGAGAGCAAGTTCCCCACTCCTCGCTTCTGTTCTGCATGTACTTATCTGTCCTTTTATTTTTCAACCATTCATGGAGAAACATGAGAAGTAGAATCTGAACAGATATGGCCACATGATCTTGGACTTCCTGCCTTTTGTGAGCTATATATCTCTCCTCTCTCTAGCATTAGCTAACTCCTCCCCTCTTATTTTTTGGTTTTTTGGGGTTTTGTTTTGTGGTACTGTGGATGGAACCTAAGGCCATCACACTGAGCTACATCCCTAGCCTTTTAAAAATTTTTATTTTAAGACTACCCTTTTTTTAACTTTTTATTTTATTTTGAGTTCCTTGTGCCTCAACCTCTCAGAGTACTGTAAATCTCTTTTCTTTATAAATTACCCAGGCTTGGGTACTCTGTTGTAACAACAGAAAATGTTTTATGTTTTTATTGTCTTAAATAAAAAAAAAGAGACCAGCTTCAGCTAATCATAAACAGCCAACCACCCAATTGATTATATAACTAAGGATTTCCCATCAGGCCACACCCAAATAAGGATACGTACCTATAGCAAATCAAATAATCTGTACTTTGATTTCATATTCAGCCTATAAGAGCTGCCTGTTAATTATGCTAAAGGATTGATCATAGCCTCTTTTCGGTTTTGGTTCATCTCAATTCATGAATTGTTTCTCTGCTCATATAAA